ATTTTTAATGGTAGAGGAGACTGAACTCAGGGATTTGTGAATGCTAAACAGACATTCTACCACTGTACTACATATTCAGCCTTCCTTTTTATTTATTTTAAAAATTAGATGAGATAGTTGTAGTCGGTAAAGATTCTCAAAAACTGTTGTAGTGGGAAGTTTCCAAATGCTTGTGCTTAATGAATTTCAGTTGGTCTGCCTTACAGTGAAAAATAACAGAACATTGTAGTGAGTTAGGTTTTCATAATGTGACTATAGTTCATGGACTTCCCTGGGTTAATATAATGTACGATTTTTTGGTAACTTACTAAATTAAAATTTTAGGATAAAGTAATCATTTAAACGCAGAGTCAGTCTCTTTTTGTACTTTGGCAACTTATAAAGTGAACTGTCCATTGTAAACTTATCTTATTTTTTAAAAAAATATTTTTATTTTTTAAGTTCTTGATAGATCTTTATTTTATTTATTTATATGCTGTGCTTAGAATCGAACCCAGTGCCTCACATATGCCTAGCAAGTGCGCTACTACTGAGAACCAGCCCAGCCCTATCTCATTTATTATTATTTTTTTAAATATTTTATTTTTTAGTTGTAGTTGGACACAATACCTTCATTTTATTTATTTATTTTTTATGTGGTGCTGAGGATCGAACCCAGGGTCTCTCATGTGCTAGCGAGCACTCTACTGCTAAGCTACAACCCCAGTCCTTGTTTATTCTTATAGACCTTAATATATTCAGAAGAAATTCCAAATTAGAATATGCTTAATCTGGGGCTGGGGTTTTAGCTCAGTGGTAAAGTGCTTGCCTAGCACATGTGAGGCATTGGGTTTGATCCTTAGCACCACAGAAAAATAAATAAAATAAAGATATTATGTCCACCTACAACTAAAAATATTTAAAAAGAATATGCTTAATCTCAGTAGATATTAGTGACATACAAATTATAAAGAAATAAATTTCTGGGGCTGGGGATGTGGCTCAAGTGGTAGCACGCTTGCCTGGCATGCGTGCGGCCCGGGTTCGAGCCTCAGCACCACATACAAACAAAGATGTTGTGTCCGCAAAAAGCTAAAAATTAAATTAAAAAAAATTAAAAAAAAAGAAATTTCTGAAAGTTTGAAATAATGGTAAGGGTGAAGGAAAATGGGAACTTAATATTACTTATGTTGGAGAAATAAAATTAAAACCAAAGTCTCTTGCCTACCTTATAAAATCTCTCTTCAAAAGTAGAAGAGAAAGGAAACAATTTATTATTGAATAAGCATTAAACTGGAATGTGATGTGCATCATAGGCAGTCTGCTAAAAGATTTCAAAGACCAAGAGAAAGTTCACTCTTATATATAGCCAAGCAGATAATGACCCATTACATACATGTTCTCAGAATAAACAGTTATACTCAAGAGGACTGGATAAAACCATTTGTCACAGTTCATGTTAAATTCACTTGATAATCGGGGTGACTAACTAACTGACTTTTATCCTAAGTAAACTGATCTTTTAAAAAATTTTTTCTAGTTATAGATGGACAGAATGCCTTTATTTTTATTTATTTATTTATTTTTAAGTGGTGCTGAGGATGGAACCCAGTGCCTCACACATGCTAGGCAAGTGCTCTGCCACCAAGCTACAGCCCCAGCCCAGGAAAATGATCTTTATGATAGGAAATTTTGCAACTTGAAGCAAGGTGGCCTGCCCCTTAGGTTTCTATACTTCCACAGAAACTGGAAGCTAGAGAGCATCATCCTCCTTGATCTCATTTAAAAGAAATGGCTAGTAGATTCTTGAGAAACAATCCTGGGTTGCTGGCTGAAGGCTCTGAAGGCTCACTTAACTTTTAAACAGATATACATACCTCTCTAAGGGGCCCAGAAAGAACTCAAAAGTGTCATAAAGAAAATGCTCTCAGGTATGGTTGTGCCCACCTGTAGTCCCAGTGGGAGGCTGAGGCAGGAGAGTCACAAGTTCAAAGTCAGTCTCAGCAATTTAGCAGAGGTCCTAAGCAACTCATTGGGTTCCTGTCTTTAAATAAAATATAGAAAAGGGCTGGGGATGGGACTCAGTGGTTAAGTGCACCCAGAGAAAGAAAGAAAGAAAGAGGGGGGGAGAGGGAGGGAGGGAGGGAAAGAAGAGAAAGGGAAAGAAAAGAAAAGAAAGAAAATGCTCCAAGGTGAAAAACAGAATGAGTCTGACAAAAATTTCCCATGTACACATATGAAAACAACACAATGAATCTCACCATCATGCACATCCCTAAGAATGAGACTGTTAACTAGAATAAGATACACTCCGTGCTTATATAATTATATCAAAATGGATCCTGGTGTCATATAAAACTAAAAAGAACCAATAAATTTAAAAAAATGCTGTAAGAAAAGGGGGTGGTAGGGAAAGTATACAAAGAGTTAAGCTTCATATTTAAAATTTTTATTTGTGGGAAAATTCTAGTAGATTTAAAGATGTGCATATCTTCTGTGCTAGTGTTTATACTCTAGATAGGTCCTAGAGAAATTTAACACTACTTGTAGTATTGTCTATTCAATGAAATGTTGGAAACAACCAAAGTATCTGGGGAAAGAAGAGTAAAGAGATAAATTTTGGTGTATTTCTTACAATAAATCATACTATATAACATTGAAAACAAATAATCTTGAACTACATGTGTATCAGCTTGAATAATTTTAAAAATATTATTGAGTTTTTAAAGTTGTAGATGGATTATATGTTATATTTATGATGTTTAAAAACATGCAGAAAAAATACCACATATTATTTATGGATACATGTGCAGTAAAAGTATAATGGAATGATAAACACCAAAGTCAGAAAGTGGTTTACCTCTGTGGAGGGATGCAAAAACGAAATTAGCCAATAGTACTTTTATTTCTTAATGGAACAAGATCTTAATAAGATAGAATGTTAAGATTTAATTAATTTGGGCAGTGAGTACTTGGGTGCTTGTTATACTATTATCTAGATTCATTTGTAATGTTTAAATATTTAATGGTTAAAATTTAAAAAAGAAATCCTAGTGCAGTGACATGTGCTTGTAGCCCCAGCTACTAGAAAGGCTGATACAGAAGGATTACTTGAGCCCAAAAGTTTGGGTTCAGCTGGACAGCACATTTCTTAAAAATTTTAAATCAAAATGGGTGGGGATCGGGGAAAGGAGATAAGGACATCCCTTCAAAGAAATTTATTTTAAAGGGGGCCAAAGAAATGGGTGGTAGTTGAAGGGAAATTGATCAATGCTGGTATTGTATATTTGCATTCTAGTGATAATGATCAAGGACAAAAGGACAAGGTTGATGCAGGAGACTAGGAACAGTTATGGGAGCAGAATTCTTGAGTAAGAAAAACAGTGGAATTCAGTGTGTAGGGAATGTGTTTGGCTTTTGATAGGAACAAGGGCAATTTGTTGAAATTGAAACAAGAGGGAAAACAGAGTAAGTGGCTGTAGATGAAGAGGTTATTTTTGAATTGAGGGTCATTAATAACCCAGGTTTGTTTAGGATTGAGAGATTTTCTAAGAAGCAGTATTTCAAGTGCTAAAACTGGGCAAGTTTTAGGCAAATAAAAATGGTTGGCTATCCTACATTTGATTGTTTTGCCTTCACAAAATGAAAAACTTATCTCCTGACACTGAGAAAGGGATGAAGAAGGAGGTATTTGAGGCTGAGGGTGAAAGAAGAATCTATAATTCATTCTCTCTCTTTTTTGAGTTTGTGTGGTACTGGGAATTGAACCTAGGAGCCAACTATTTCTGAGCTACATCCCCAGCCCTTTTTACTTTGAGACAGCGTCTAAATTACAGAGGCTAACCTCAAACTGATGTTCTTTCTGCCTCAGCCTCTTGAGTCTCTGGGATTAAAAGTATGCTGCCTCGTCCAGTTTATTTAAATTTTATTTTGAGACAGTGTCTTGGGAAGTTCCCCAGACAGTTCTCCAACTTGGGCTCCTCCTAGTTTTTGGGCTTATAGGAAGTCACTACCACACCTGGTTTATAATTCTTCATCTTAAAAATGAGAGAGCAAATTAACTAAGTTCATGTGATATGATTAACGAGCATTGCTAGGGGTTGACTGAAATTTCTGGTTATAATTTTAAAGTTATAGAACTGGGAATGTAATCTAGTGGTGGAGTGTGTGCCTAGCATGTGTGAGACCCTGGGTTTAATCTTCAGCATCACAAAAATAAACAAACATACCAAAAAAAAATTATATTATTGTGTTTCTTGCTTCAGTCTCATTGTTCAGGTAGGAGTACTGTATTTAGTGGAAAGTTGATTTTAAATTATTTTTTGACTATGAGGGAGAAGAGAACAAAGCTGTGAGGCTATAGATTAAGGAATGAGTATAGAGATAGGTTATCAAGTCTCAGACTAGGTCAGAAGTGAAAACATAAGAGGATGAAGAAAGTTGTAGGATCTGTTAGAGTCAACAGATTTCTGGGAATGAACTGGAAAGAGAGGAAGGAAAGATAATGAGATGTTTGAAATTGAGATTTTTGAGATTGTGTAGTTATTAGTTAATAATCTGATCATGGGAGTAAGTGTTGAAATGGGATGGAAGAAAAGATTCGTGAGTGTGGGAGTTAATGCTTCTGTAGGTATCATTTCAGTGACCAACTAAACGCAGGTTTTGATACTCTAAAATATATTTCAGTTAATTATTTTTTCTTTATGTAGTTAGTCTTCTGCTTTCTGTTCTATTTTGATTAAATATCACCTCAAATTGTAAATCACATTGTTGTTGCTCTGAAATAAAGATAGTTGTAAATAGTAAATAGATAAAAACAAATTTTGTTTAATCAATACCTTATGTGGCTTGCTGGAGACCTTGCAATTGGTAAATTCAAACGTTAGCATCCAGACTGGTGATCCCACTGCCCACTAAGGTATTTTCCTACTGTATAGATTCAGACAGGGCTTTGTGCCATGCGTGGTTATCTGTAGGACCTTGCTTTGCTGACTCCAATTTTACTCTTTGTGTTTTTATAGGACCGCAGCTGAATGCACAGCTAGAAGGTTGGCTCTCACAAGTACAGTCGACAAAAAGACCTGCTAGAGCCATTATTGCACCGTAAGTTTTAAAGGGTCTTTATTCAACACTTTTCATGTCTATTATTAATAAAAAATGAGTATCTATAACATAAATTGAAGATATTATATTTTTCACAATTCCTCTGATTTTCATATAAACTAAAAAAGTAAAGGAATTAGTTGCTTTATTCCTTAAATGCAGTAATTTCAAAATTTATTTCTGGTAATAAGAGTGACTTTTTTTTGGGCTGTGCTGGGGGTGAAACCCAGCAATTAAGTTAAATTTAATTAAAAAAATTAAATGAGTGGATCTTTTAATAATTTTTAGCAAAATGACTTGCTGTGACTTAGTCATTCAGCAACTATGTAACAGACTAAATTCTAGTTGCTTATCCTAGTGCTGCTTTTTGAATAAATCAAAATTGTATTATTAGCTGGGCGCGGTGGCGCATGCCTGTAATCTCAGCGGGCTCAGGATGTGGAGGCAGGAGGATGAAAGCTAGCCTTAGCAATGGAGAGGCACTAAGCAAATCAGTGAGATCCTGTCTCTAAATAAAATACAAAATAAGGCTGGGAATGTGGCTCAGTGGTTGAGTACCCCTGAATTCAATCCCCAGGACTCCCCCCACCCCTCAAAAAAAAGTGTTGTATTCTTGTGGTCCTTATGTGTCAGTACTTGGGAAAGATAAGCAGAAAACAGTATAATAATTTTATTCTATGTTGGGTTCTGGTGGGTGCTAAGAAGATTAGTAAAGCAAATAAGAGGGTTCAGAGTGACAGTGTATATAGGGAGTTGCTATTTTACATAGATGGAAGAAAAAAGAAAAAAAAAGGCTCCTTGATACGGTAACTTTTGACTTTGAATGATATGAGTGGACAAGTTGTGCATATACCTGGGAGAAGTATCCCTTGAAGCAAGCACCAATGCTCTAAGGCAGGAGAGGAGTGTGTTTAGTGTGTTTAAGGGAAAGCAGGCTGTCATTATAGTTGAAGAAGCATGTCCAGTCGAACATCCCTAATCCAGAAATCTAAAATCCAAAATCTGAAACTCTTGACCCCTGATGTAATGCCACCAAAGAAAAACTTTGACCTCATGCATCGAGTTGTGAAGACACAGGCATGCTGAAAATATTGTATAAAGTTACCTTTAGAGTTGAGTGTGGTAGTACATCCCTGTAATCTCAGCTAATTGGGAGGCTGAGGCAAGGGGGATTGCAAGTTAGAGGCCAGCCTTAACAATTTAGCTTGACCCCCCCAAATTTAAAGTCTTCCAAAAGCAAAAAAGCAAAAACAAACAAAAACCCCAAAACAAAAAACCCCCACAACAACAACAAAAAAACAAGTTGGTGGTAGAACACTTGGTTAGCACATGTGGACTTGCTTAGCACATGTGGGTCCTGGGTTCAGTTCTTAGTACTGCAAATAAAACAAAACCCTTCAGCCTATGTGTATAAAGTGTGTATAAGACATACATGAATTTCATATTGAGGCTTGGAGCTCACCTCTAAAATATTTTATCATGCATATGCAAATTTCCTCAAATTTGAAAGAATCAGAAACAATTCTGGTCCCAAGCATGAGATAAGTAAGAGATACTCTGCCTGTACAAAGGGAAGAGTATACATGAGATAGGCAGCAAGGGGCTAGATCATGAAGAGACTTTGAGATTGTCCTAGGACTTTGGTTTGTATTCTGAATGATAATGCAGTCATGACAAGCTTTGAGCAGTAGAATGACGTGATCTGATTTAGGTTTGAGAAGAATTAGTCTTGCTGCTTTGTAGACATAATGTGTGAGAACAGGGAGTCCAATTCAGGAGGCTTATTACAATAGGACAGAAATGGCTTTGACTGGGGGGCTAGAGGTGGAGGTGAGGAGAAGCAGTGTATTACAGATATATTTAGAATATTGGACCAACACAAAAGAGGAGTCAAAGATGACTCAAGTTTTGGAAACTAGGGCTACAGTTGTGCACCACTGTGCCTCTGAATATCCAACTATAACTAAAAAATAAGGGTAAGACAAGTGGAAAGATGGAGTAGATTTTGAAGGGATTATATAAAATCTAGGGTTTGGTTTTGATGTTGTTATTGTTGAGATGTCCATTAGATATTGAAGTGGAGATTTCAAGTAAGGAATGGGTATATGAATCTGGAGTACAGAGAAGAAGGGCCTTGATTGAAATAGAAATACTGATTTTGTTTCTTTATACTCCTAAAGTCTAAGCAGAGTGTGGTTGCTTCAGGCATAAAATAAAGACAGGCAAAAGAAATGGACTAACCCCCTCATCCAAGTCACCATTTTAGAGGTCAGGAGACCCCGAAGGAAGAGCAGTGAGGAAAGAGTAAAACCAGGAGTGGTATCTCCAGGAGGTGAATAGATGAAAATGTGTCAAGGAATAGAAAGAGATCAAGGCTTTTTTAATATTTATTTTTTAGTTTTCGGTGGATACAACATCTTTATTTTATTTTTTTGTGGTGCTGAGGATCGAACCCAGTGCCCGGCGCATGCCAGGCGAGCGCGCTACTACTTGAGCCACATCCCCAGCCCGAGATCAAGTCTTTTAAATGCTGCCTATAGTAGGTCAAGTACAATGAGGACTGATGAGAATTGATAAATGGATTTGACCATGTGGAGATTACTGGTGACCGTCACCTTGAACAATTTCTTTAGAGTGGTAAGAATGAAAGCTTATTGGAGTGGGTTCAGGAAAGAATGAGAGATGAAGGGTGAATTTTGCTGTAAATTGGAAATAGGAGAATAACTGTTTGAGAATGTATCAGGGAGAATTATTGGAGACTGAACCCAGGGGGCATTCTACCCTAACTCTTTTTATTCCGAAACAGGGTCTCACTAAGTTGTTGATGCTGGTCTCAGATTTGAGCTCCTCCTGCTTCAGCTTTCCAAGTCCCTGAGATTACAGGTGTGCACCACTATGCTAGAACTCAGTTGGGAGATTTTTGTGGGCTCAGCTGGGAGATTTTAAAGTGTTCATAATGTTGATGAATGATTCAATAGAGAAAGAAAAAGTGATGCAAGGATATGAGGGGAAGTTGGCATAAACGGGGTCCTTGATTAAATGCTTTGTCTCTCTCTCTCTCTCTCTCTCTCTCTCTCTCTGGGAGTACTGGGGATTAAACTCAGGGCCTTGAACATATCGGGCAAGTGCTCTATTAGCAGATTCTCCCTTTTAAAATTTTTATTTTGAGACAGGGCCTAGCCAAGTTGCCCATGTTGGCCTTGAACTTGCAATCCTCCTGCCTTAGCCTCCCGAGTAGCTGAGACTATAGTTGTGTGCCACTATACCCAGCTAATGTTTATCTCGTTGTAGAAACTCATGAAGTAGATTCTGTTCTTATGCCATTACTTTGCTGATATTTGACTGTTATGGAATGCTACCTTTCTAGTTAAGACTTGGTCTAAATGTGGGAACTGAGTTGAATCAATACATAATTAAGTTGAGGTTATTCATGAAAAACAGCTAGACTTGTTTCTTTTTTGTAATTAATTTTAAATTGAAATCATTGGCAGTGACCTGGGAAATGAAGTTTTTTTAGCCTAAGTTACAAATATATTGATTTGTGAAATGAATATTCAAAGGTTTTTTTTTTTTTTTTTCACTTTGGTGTATAAGTTTCTATGATACAGTGACTTAGTAGTTTGGTTTGTGCAATGTATAGGCAGCTTTTTTTTTTTTTCAAGTAGTGCTGAGTAGGCAGTTTATAGTTTATCAATTTATGAAAACTTTAAATATGGCCATTGTTTTATCTCCTTAAGATTTCCCAAAGTAATTATTTTATTTTCCAGAGTTACCCCCTTTTATGGAAGTAGAAACGCTACAATAAATATTTTATTGTTATGTAGCTTGAGTAGGTCTTTATAAGAATATGCCCATATAGTGAATAGAAAGCTTATTTTGGAGGTTCTGCTTTCATTTTAAATCAAGTTTATCCAAAGTATACTTTAAACTTGATAAATTCTAGCACTACAGGGCTATCCTTTCTTAGATCTTTTACCTTTTCAGGCAAAAATTGTATCACGGGATCCTTAAGGAAAACAAGCAAACAAACAAACCCCCCTCAGAGTCTAGTTGTAACCAGTTAGGCTGTGTGAAAATAACACACTTTTAAAAAGTGCTTAAACCTACTGCTTAGTGCTGTATTGGTGTAGATTAAGTAGAATAACTGACATTAAAGAATAAATATTGACCCATAAACTGACTGCTGATATATCTTAATGATTTCTAATCTCTATGACATATAGGTAGCCATATTTGGAGGATTTAAAAGAAATTAATTTGATCAAAAAATTATCCTAGGGACTGGGGATGTGGCTCAAGCGGTAGTGCGCTCGCCTGGCATGTGTGCAGCCCAGGTTCGATCCTCAGCACCACATGCAAACAAAGATGTTGTGTCCGCCGAAAACTGAAAAATAAATATTAAAAAAAATTCTCTCTCTCTCTCTCCCTAAAAAAAAAAAAAAAAATTATGGTTGAATTTAGAACTGCCTTACTTATTTTGAGATATAGTAAATAGTACTTACTCCAGGGATATATATTGAAATGATCTTAACAATTAGAGGTTTCTAAAACCTTTCTTTCATGATGATCAGAAACCTTAATGCTAATCTCTTTGCTTGCGCTATGTAGGAATATATGAGAATACTTAGAAGGGAGCTGTGTAGGTATGTGTTGCCTAAAACACTTACTGAAAATAAAAATACAGAAATATAGTCAGGTAATTAGTATTATTAACATGATGAAATTATTTTTTACATAAAACATAAATATGAATAGTGAAGTTCTCCTCATACCATTATTGTTAGAAGTTAACCTCATGGGAGTAGTATTGGGGTTCGGTGGTAGGGGGAGAATACTTTTTCATTGTGTAGTTTTCATTATTGAATTTTTTTTTTTTGACCTATTCTTGTTTAAACAGGGTCTTGCTATGTTGCCCAAGCTGATCTTGAATTCCTGAGCTCAAGTGATGCACTGACTCAGCCTCCTGAGTAGCTAGGACTATAAGTGTGCACCACTGTGCC